TCTTCCAAGTCTCAATTTTTGGTTAACTTTTCTCTTACAATTCCAAAAGTCTCTTAGTTGGAAAGTCTACGAAAAAAAATTTTCTTCCAATTTTCCCCATGATGGGGCAATGACAATTAGCTTAAAGATTCTCAAACCAGAAACACCTGGCAAATAGGAAAACAAAACAGAGAGATTGGTATAAATCGTTTGTGTGTGCATGCACACCACTAAGTATTAAAAAAAAATTGCTTTTGTCACACCAACTGATTTTATGTTGATAAAAATGATACGACTTTGATAAAGAATTCAATTCTCTTCCATTTATTTAAAACTTACATCATTGGCATCATATGTATTACACATATACAATACATAATATACAAATCATAATTGAACCCGAACTGTGTAATACACACTATACAAAACAATAATAATATATGTTAATATTAATGAACTACTAATTTTCCTTATATCAAAATCATAGCTCTCTGAATAAGCTTTTGGGGAAGAAGGAGGTGTTTTGAGCTGTCCTTTGCTTCTGCTTATTGGCCTTTGCTTTTATTTGATTTCAACCGGCATCTGTTGAAATCAAATATTCAACAGATGCTTGTAACTTAAGAGATTTGTAGTTTGTGATTTTTCAAGGCCTGTGCACTTCTTGAATGTGATTGTTTTCTGCCATGAGGACTTCCTAAAGCGTAGACTGAAATACTACTCTCCTTATTCTTATTATCAGACAGAATCTCTCTCTAAGCCAGGCATTCTGACGCCTTCCAAACTAATCGGCCACTCTACCCATTTTATCATCATCATCATCATCATCATCATCATCATCATCTTGGCAGAGCTGGAAGGGACCTGACGGATCACTGAAGGAGGAGGCTCACTGGGGAATCAAACTCCCAACTTCTGGCTCCACAACCAGTTGCCTAAATTACCATTTTCCTTTACATGCTCTTTCACTTTTTTAACGATATTTTAATTTCGATATTTCACAGACACATACACACATCGTGTTCCTACTTAGGACAATGTTTATTGTACAGTGTGCAGAAGGGCAAAGTTTTGTACAGTGTGTAGAAGGGTGAGTTTTGTTTTGTCTGTCTGTTTGTGTTGTTTTGTGGATGGTCTATCACGCACCGCTTCTTGTCTGCACAACAGACATCCTGCAAAAAGGACAAAAACCGATCACGCAATCGCCTCTCCCTACACAGCAAACTCAAAAGATTAGTGGTGGTAGTTTGTAAATGAAAAGTTTCTTTTTAAAAAGCCCCAGAGACATTTGACCACTCTTGTTGCATTAAAGTTTAAAAATCTAAACATAGAGGCTGTGCCTTAATCAAGGAAAATCCATGTTTCACATTTAAATGTGGTTAAGGGATACACATGTTTTTGCTTTCACGCAACATCCTGTTCTCACCAATTCATTTATCGCGTTTACCAAAATTAACTGTTTGTGTGAAAGCGGGGGAATAGAAAGATTTGTTTTTAACCTGTTTTTAAAGAAGATTGGCTTTCAAGATTGGTTTTTAATTATTGCATTAAACATCTTTTTTTAAAAACAAACAAACACACTTTCAACATTTCCGTTCTGCCCGGCTTTGGAAGCCCTCGTCCAGAGAAAGGCAATAAATGAACAATGTATTCTCGAAGGCTTTATATAATAAACAAACACTTTTGTGTCGCTTATAAGTCGATACGAGATACGAAGCACCGTCGGAGATTCTACCGAGACTCCAGGCATGCTACCCAAATTAGTTAAGACTGTTTGCAAAAGACTGCAAGGCGACCTTGCCTAATGGATCAAGAGAGGCCCCGAGGACACTAAAGGTGACATAAATGTATAAAAACAAAACAGAGGAAGAGAGGGTTGGGGCTCCCAGTCAACCTAAAAATAGAGACATTTCTCCCAAGTAGGAAAAAAAGCAAGAAGAGGTGCAGGAAAGGAGAATTATACATATCCTGTCTCCTGTTCCCCCACTACAGTGGAGTGATAAAACACATTTGTGAGTTGATAAGAGGCAATGTAACGAGGAAAAGGAAGTGTCATTGATGACACCATAAATTAAGAGCTCTCTGTTCTTGGTTATGTTAAATTGCCATCGTATCCCCATTAACCTGAGTCCTCTTGACTAAAGATTCGAAAGAGCCCCCGTTTCTGGAATAGCAATACAGTGGTGCCTCGCTAGACAGTTACCCCACATGACAGTTTTTTCACTAGACATTGACTTTTTGCAATTGCTATAGCGATTCGCAAAACAGTGATTCCTATGGGGGGAATTTCATTTGACAATATTTGGTCCCTGCTTCGCAAACCAATTTTCGCTAGACAACGATTTTGCTTGCAAAATCCACGCTCGCAAAACGGATGTTTTCGGGACCTAAGCTTCACAAGACAGCTATTTAAACAGCTGATAGGTGGTTTGCAAAGCGGCTTTCCTATGGCCGATCTTCACTAGACAATGACGATTCTTCCCCATTGGAACGCATTAAACAAGTTTCAATGCATTCCAATAGGGAAATGCTTTTCGCTAGACAACGATTTCGCTAAACAGCGATTTTCAGTGGATTATCATCGTCTAGCAAGGCACCACTGTATCCAGGATCTGCCAGTCAACGTGGAAGGTGTAAGCCCCAAAGGAAATTTTTCACATTTTCCGCCTGACTGTACTCAGGTACTGATTTCTGAGGAGATATCCAGAGAGTCTGGTGGTTCGTCCACTAAGGAGCAAAAACGTGGAACCCTTTTAAAAGATCTGCTTTCCTTCTAATGAAATCTGATCATTCATTCGTTTGTTTGTTCGGTTTATAGACCACCTGATTAGTCCAAACACCACCCGGGGAGGTTTGCAAGATTAAAACCTCACAATAACAACAACACAAAAAACTCATACTTTCTCAAGTGCATCTTCCTTGAGCTTCTTTTTTTAAAAAAAGTACAGGTAGGGAAATCTCATATCCCGAAATTTTGACTTGAAAAATAAGCCAGTTTTGAGGCTGGCATTTTACAAGCTGAGTATGTCAACTCTAGTTCTCGAACACCCAACGGGAGATGATCCTACAGAAAACTGGCACAGCAGATTTTGTTAACCAAGCTTAAAGACAGAAAAAATAACCATTAATGCCTGCTGGGAAAGGGATTTCTAAATTCTGAACCCTACTTGTGCCCTTAATTGCTTGATCCTTCTGATCATGATTGTGTTCTAGTGGGCCACTATTAGGGATGTGATGGGCACCCTTCTCAACCATTTTCAGAGGCTTGTCCTCCCCACACTTCCTCCCCCGTGGCAGCAAGATTTTCTGGCTTCCTACTAGCATGCAACCATGGTCTTCCTTTCCCCTTTCCTCCTTTTTGGTTTGTCACTCTGCAACGGAAACTGTCAAATCCTGCACAGCTGGGCACCCTTTCCAGGGAATCCTGCACAGGAAGGGTGTCAATCTTCACAGGAAGCATAACGATCCAGTACAGCTTACAACTATGTTCAGAAAAAAAAAGAATTACATTTTTTGGTGGTT